GCTAAATGTTTGACATTTTTTAAAATAGTAGTAAGCCGTAAAGCCACTTATATAGCCTATATTATTAACATTTGAAAGAGAAAGAGAGAGTGAGATGCCCATGCACCACAAGACTTCATTGAATAAAACTTTATCAAAAAGATCAAATGTAGCTAATCCTAATTAAAGTAGCTTATTTATTCAAGATATTTGTAGAAAAGAAATATCTTGTGTTTTGTGTCTTCAAGATGCAAGTAGCCTAAAATAATTTATAATTTCATTAAATCATGCTATATAGAAAATGCTATAAACGTTTTTCTAAAATGTATGAATCCAACAAGAACAAATAAATTATTTGACACGTTTCTAAACTAATTTTTAAACGATTTCTGCTTTGTATCATATGAGAACTCTTATTTCTCATGTCACTGATCCTTGAATCACTACAGCCGTGCAGCACGAGAGAGGACCGAGGACTTCAACCATTCGAAAGCAGGTGGCACTGTATTTCCGAGGGCATAAAGAGGTGAACGGTTCGTCGACCCATTTCCCATCCACGTCTATCCCGGGGCCGCCGTTTTTCACTACAGTCACGCAGCTGGAGCCTCACAATCTGGAGTTAAACACGGTCACAAGCACACCGGAACGACAGGCCATTGTGGGACTCGCCCAACCCACACCGAAGGTAAACATGTTCATTCATAACAGTGTAGTTTAAATGAACGAATTGTCGATTTATATGAACTTCACTAAAACATTCGCTGAATTAGCCCGCTTATTTTCTATGATAATGTAATCACTTTTCAGTATCCTCATGAAGTTAGCGGCAATCCCATGTACCTGTATGAAGTGGCGACCGAGTCTGTGTGCGAATCAGCAGCGCGCCTGCTCTTCATGAGCATTAAATGGGCCAAGAGCGTTCCGGCCTTCTCCACACTCCCTCTACCTGACCAGGTAAAAAAGTTATTATTATTATAAGGTTTAATTTTACACAGATTAGGCTAAATATGGTATACATGTCAAGTATGAAAAACGCAAACGCAAAGATGTTTTATTTATAGTCATTAATGAAATTACTTTTTTTTTTTTTTTTTTTTGCAGTTGATCCTTTTAGAAGACGCTTGGAGGGAACTGTTCGTGTTGGGCATAGCGCAGTGGGCCATTCCAGTGGACTCCAGCACTCTCCTAGCTGTTTCAGGTAGCCTAGGCCATACAAGTAACCCACTCCTAAGATTTACGTATTTGACGCCACGTTTCGTAAAAATACGATAACTTCAAATGTTATATCCATACAAGTCAAATGTTTTGTGTTTTCTCGCGAATTAGGAATGAACACCGAGAACACAGATTCCCAGAGGCTAAACAAAATCATCGCAGAGATCCAGGCGCTGCAGGAGGTCGTGACGCGCTTCAGACAGTTAAGACTGGACGCTACAGAGTTCGCGTGCCTCAAGTGCATCGTCACTTTCAAAGCAGGTGGGGTTCGATAAAATAAAATACAACATATTAAAGCGAAATAGTTATTATTAATTACAGAAACTTTCTCTACTGGCCAAACAGTAGGTCTGAACAAACATGCTGTTTTCCCCCCGTTCTTGCAGTTCCAACACACAGTGGTTCGGAATTGAGGAGCTTTCGCAACGCCAGTGCCATTGCAGCCCTTCAGGACGAAGCCCAGCTGACTCTAAACAGCTACATCCACACCAGGTACAGCCAATACTTCCTGAAACATGGGTGAATCTATAAAAGCTCATTAAATAAGTATTACGCAAATTTAGACCACTTCATTTTGTGTGTGTGTTTTTTTTAAACGAATTGTTACGTTCCAGGTACCCCACCCAGCCGTGTCGCTTTGGGAAACTGCTGTTGCTCTTGCCTGCTCTACGTTCAGTTGGTCCATCCACCATTGAAGAGGTGTTCTTCAAAAAGACCATCGGAAACGTGCCCATCACACGACTGCTCTCCGACATGTACAAATCCAGTGATATATGAGCTACTGAGAGACAGAGAAAAGAAATCAAGATGTATCTTTGACCTTGGCATTCGCATGGACGCTGTGGATGATACCAGATACCCTAATGTGATACTTCACGCACTTGTTTGGAGAACAAAGCTCTACCAATGTCAAGACGTTATTATGCAGGGAAACTATAAAACAAACAAAAGACTGAATCTCTACAAGTTGAGCTTACTGCATAGAAAGAAAAATGAACGTTTAACCAGTAATTTTCTAATTGATTTACTTTTAATCTATTTAAGTTCGTTTATGGAAGTAACTTAACAAGCTTAATCTGTTCTTGTTCTATCAAGATTTAAATACAAAATTATCTTAGTTCGTAGTCATATATTTGAATGGAGTGTCCGTGAGGTTATGTACAATCATTCATTTCAAAACAGGACGTTTTATTGTGTCCAATTGACCAACTACCTTTATACTACCAATGCTGTTTTGATTTCAGCACCAGTATCATTCATTTGTCCACAAGAACTTTGAAGAAAACCAAAAAATGACAAAAAAAAAAGAAACCATGAGGTATGTTGCAGGGAAGTAGGTCGCTGTCCCTTTGACATAGTGCTGAAAACCAAAGGCCCATGAGTCAGAACTGAAGAGTAAGTTCATTCCCGTTTTACCTTCTAGCAGAAGCTCCAACTTTAATCAAAACACTTGAACCAGCTAATCAGGTTTACTTGAAATGTACGCTAAAAGGTTGGAATTAAACTCTGCAGGAAGGCAGCATGACTGAGCATTACTGACTTGATGCATCACATAATTACTTATTGAGGTGACTGGGAGGCCGCAGCACCCACACCCTGTGACCTTAACAGAAGATTAGAGTTCACAGGCAGGGCATTCGAAATCGTCTGGATACAGATCTGTTGGCATTGTGAGTTTTCTGTGCGCCCACTCTGAAAATGTAATTTTATTGAGGTTTAAAAAGTTGTTTCTGCTCAATCCATGGCCCATGCCATGGCCATGTCAGAGGTCACCATTTTAAACCTTTGTTTGACTAGCTACTAACCCTGGAAAAGAGACACCACGATCAGCACTTGGATTTGCTTTTGTAGTCTGTAAATACATTTCTCGTTGTACAGTGATAATTTTTGTGAAAGTTGTTCTAAGATATTAGAATAAATATTGAATATTGATCGCCTGGTCCTTCAACAACTGTCAAATGCATGTCTCCTTTTGCTTTCTGGGTTTCTAAGGCTTCCTTCTACAAGCCGCAAAAGGTCCATTGCACCCTAAACGGGGTAATAAACGGGGACAGAGGTTCACGTCTGCACGTAAGTGCATATTGAACCATTGCCGATACAATACCCTGGACCTTGAGTGAAGTTGCTGTGCCTCGCACGGCTCAGGGTTTCAAGCACTCTTTCACAAATCAAGGGCTTTGCCCAAATTGCATTTTTTTTTTATCTTCATTTTTTGTTAGAGAGGATACAATAGGAAGAAACATGATTGCGATGACAACTTTCAATCCAATTTATCCTACACTGTAAAAAAAAATCCGTAAAATTTACAGTAAAAAAACGGCAGCTGTGGTTGCCGGAATTGTTCCTTTTTAATGGGCTGCTCTGACGTGAAATGAACTCCAAGGTTACGTGAGCCAAGCGGCTGTGCCCTTCTCTTTACCTTATATACAGCATTGTTGCACATACTGACTCTCAAAAACATTTGAATTCAGTCAAAAGTAAGTTAGGCACGATCCGTCATGCTGGAAACAGAACAACAAACAAAAAATATGAGACAATGCTAGACTTAATAACAAAAGGTTGAATGTACTGTAGGCCTGTAATTGCAGTGTCTTGTACAGCAATTAGAAACAATACAAAAACACACCTGTTTCCCAATAGCGTACACTCATAGTTATACATCCTATGTGTTTTTACTATATAGTTGCATATGCTTTCCAAAAAGTATAAATTAAGTGCAGAGCTCACTTTTCTCCTGGTTTCAGTAAAAATACATTGTAAATACCCACACAAAACAAATGACCCTTATTTGAAGGACCAGTTACTGTAAATCATTTTCCCAAAATATTCTTACAATGAAAAAAGTGTCTTCTACTCTACTGTTTCTGAAGGGCATTTGAGGAGGAACTGACCTTCACAACCTGGGTGAACAACACCTGGGAATAATTAATTTCACTTTTCATTTTGATAATTCCTGCACATAAAATACTAATACTTAACAAAATGTATTTCCTCTGAATTACACTCCTGATGGTCAAGAAGAAAAAGCTTTTAAGGCAGACTAAATGTCTACAACCACTAAAGCTAGGATCGTCTCTTAGATATTTCAGTGGAAGCAAACGGAGACGATTTAGTTTTGCAAACCACATCATACATGCATGTGTTTGATCCATTTTATTGGAAAATTCTCATAAACAAAACAATGGCACAGCAGTATACAAATCTGGAAACATGCATTGTAGGCAGCACGCTCTGTGTTTCTGTGTACCGCATTTACACAGTAAAAACAGGCTTGTCTGCAGCTAAGTGGGGCACACGGCACACGATCAACCACCACGTATCAAGGAGGTTCCCAATTAAGCGCATCCTGCACGGTGAGCTGCTGTATGTGTTCTTCAGCATTAAAAGCAACACAAGTAGGTAGTAGCAATAACACAGAGAAGCCGATGTGTGTGATATAGTGCTTGCATAATTGTGATATAGTTATTTGGTTCGTTTAGTTTGATCTTAGTGGTGCTCTCAGACAAAACTACCATAAATAATTGTTAACCACAATGAATTACACATAAGAACGTATTTGATCTGACTTAAAGTGGTAATATTAACATTATGGATTTATAAACCAGAACAAAAAGACTGAAACAATCTATAAGCAGAGATTTAAAAAAAAAGTACTTTTGGAGAAGTGAAGGGACACAACTAACGCTAGAGAACATTTTCAATTATTTTGTAAATGTTTTGGACACCCTATGGTTCATGCTAAGATTCTGTTGCTGTTAAGAATGATTCAAACCTTTCTTATTGCTTGTGGGCCATGTTTTTGTGTGTGTGTGTGTGTGTATATATAGAGTCCAGACCGGTTCAGGCTTGTCTAACTTTGGACGGGGTGTAGTTTTTATCCACTGACTCATCCTGTAGAAACATGTGCAGGCAGCGCTCATTTTGGGCCAATGGATGACCAGCCACTCTGGAAAAAGCAGACCAAAAAAATGCATATTAGCCACCATAAAAATATTATGCAAGGACACACACTGTAAAGCAGGAGAGAGAGAGAGAGAGAGAGAGAGGAGGCGGAATCAACTCTGACCCCAATCAAGATACAACTCTTAGATATTATTAGGAGGCTGTGACATTCTGCAGCATTCTTCTTCAGATCATAAATCATCCAGCTTGAATTTCAGAGCGATAATATCGAAATGTAATTACGCATATCTTTAAAAACAGTAGAATGAGCCATCATGCTAATTCAACTCATTATTTTACCAGTCAATCTATTCCAGCTTCCAGTGGAATAAAAAAAGGACCCTCACACCTCTAAAATTACACGATGCTCACAATGTTACAAGTCAAGATGACGGAGGATCATTTTCAGATTTGGGACAGGCAAATGTAAAGACATGCTGTACAAATCCACTCACACATAGTCTAGAAGTATGATGGGAATGCGTCCCCCTTCTCCAGGTGCTATTAGTAGCGAACAATGACATTTAATTCAGGAATTTTTGGTAAAAGGAAAAAAATCCCATCTTAATTACCTCCATATCCTTTCTTTCGTCAAACCTAATTTACAGCTGTTCGTCTCGTATTAAAATTCAAACAGGTAGAGCCGGCGCATTTGCACATGAAACAAAGATAATGGCAAAGTCTGCAATCACAGCAAATAATTACAATCGAACTGTAACTTTTATTGTCTCCGTCGGCGGGGGAACGGCACCTCGGATCAAAAATAAGCAGGAGTGCACACAACATCTTGTAGGGAAAAGGTATGCACGCCTGTAATTTCACTCGCAATTATCATAAATTACACATCAAAAATAAAACAAATGTAAAAAGTAAAGCTGGTGCACTTGCGGCCTCTCATCAGTTTTGATCATTCTGTAGGTAATTATGAGAGAAGGAAAAAAGTGTGAGGGAAGACATCAGATGACACAAAGGCTGGCAAGTGTCTGTTTTTCTCTTTTACTGAAGTACCTTAACCTAAAAACTCAAAATGAACAGAAAGAGGAAAAACTATTGTAATTCTTTATCATGATAACCGCTTCAGTCTTCTTTATAAAAACAGTTCAGATGTGCCAAGGCTAAAAGAAGTTAAGTGGAAGGATACGCAGTAGAGGACTATGTAAATTTTGTCATATCATACAATTTATTCACTTAAGAATAAAATCGCAAGGAAAAATATCTTTTTAAATAACTGACATTTCCACAGTGCATCATGGGTACATACAGTATCCTCCATTAATATTGCCACCTTTGCTGTGTACCCTCTTTTTTCATTAAAATATTTACAAGTAAATTTAACCTCTACATTTCAATAAATAACTGACTTTTGTTTTGTTTTTTTGCATTATTAATAGCACTAAACCATTTTGTTTTTCCAAATGTGTGTGCCACGGGGGAAAAAAAATAAAAAATCCAATTTGATCTTTTTCTTCCTGCATGGCTATTTTTCTTTCATGGTTTACACTTTAGTATATATATATATATATATATATAGTATATCTCATTAATAGATCTATAATTAAAAGACTAGATTTTTGTGATTGTTTTGAAAGAAAAGTTATTAGGATAACTTGTTCATATTTTGGCTTTTCAGGTTCTGAATATTAGTGGAAAACTAATTTAGCATTGCGAACTGAAAGCGGGCCATAGAGATGCTGCAATACAGTAATTTTCCTGTAACTTAAAGGGGTCATATGATGCTGCTAAAAGAACATTATTTTGTGCATTTGGTGTAATGAAATGTGTTTATGCGGTTTAAGGCTCAAAAAACACATTATTTTCCACACACTGTACATTATTGTTTCTCCTCTATGCCCCGCCTTTCTGAAACGTGTCGATGTTTACAAAGCTCATGGGTCTGTGAGTCAGAACAGCCGGCATTGTAGTCTACTCTTCCAGGATCAGGAAACAGTCTTCCATAAAATGTGCTGCACACAAATGAATATTTGGGTTGAACAGTTCTGGAACAGTGTTGTAAATACAACTTAACCACTGATTTCTCGATGGCCGGTGGGCTTGAGAACGGCGTGGCCGGCGGATTCGACGAAAGAGCGGCAGGCGGGCTTGCGGCAACCACATGTGACGATCACGGGCTGGACTCCGCTTCGTCCACGGTGAAAGCCGATCCGGCGATCCACAGTGCAAATTCGATGTATTCCCTCAGCGACCACGCTTTCAAAACGAAACACAGCGTCTCCACGGCATGGCGGCGGCGGCGGCGGCAACAATACTACAGCGAGAATAAAAGTTACGCCTTTTTTCTTTGCGTGAACATTTGGGCGGCGTTATGCAAATCTTCCCACATCGTGACGTAGACATGCGGGGGCGTTTTGGAACAAGCCGTTTTAGGTAGGCGTGGTTGACTCTTAACTTTTATAAAGAATATCTCTTTGGATTTGAGACTTTAGTCTTTGCAACTTTACAGATCTTCTTTATGCACCAAGAGCTTGTAACACTTCAAAGAGAAAGGAAAAATTGAAATCGCATCATATGACCCCTTTAAACAGTACAGCATGGCGCTAAAGTCATGAGTTTGACTGCCAAGAAATACATGAACTGATTAAATGTACACCTGGAATGTAGTGCAAATTGAGTTTACAAAGAATACTTAAATTGGAAAAAATACATGTTAATTGTTAAATTTGGAGTTCATTCTGTCCTTATTTGTGAAATTTCTAGTGATTTATAGGAATTGTTCTTTCCTGTTGTTTGGTTCAAGGTAAAACCAAAGATGAATGTTTCTGTTGAACAGAAATGCAAGGTGTCTGGAGGAACTTGTGACTCACTTGTTGAGGAACTGTTCTAAACCTTGCCGCCGTTCTTCGATAAAAGAGTCGTCAAATATACCATCATCCCCACGGAATGGGAGCTGCCTGATCAGAGCCTTTCCAGGAAGAGGAGGAACTACCACCTATTTGAAATACAAAAACTTCATTCACGTTACATAGATCTCAGAATGCAATCACTGGTCTCTTACAATCACTTCAAACATCATTACCTGAACTACAGAATAATTTCCAATCCAATGATTGAAAAAGCATTACTCTTAAATGTTTCACAGAAGGATGATAAAATGCAGCACTCTGAGCATTCATGCCCCATGCTCCATCCAAACCAACACTTTATTTCATTCATCTATCCTTCACCAATACTTCACCTTGCTTTCTCTCTCCAGCTCTCCTCTCAGCCACTCAAAGTCGCTGTATCTCCTCCGGACACGTGACTCCTTCAGCTTGAAGATAGGGAGGTTTGTCTGGGGAGAATGAAAATTAAACATCTGAAACATCATGTCCTTCTTAGATTAAGGCAGACTGTTTCAAAACAGATGCACATTTTTAAATAAAAGTAGTTTGAAAACCACATTAAGACTGACGGTGTAGCTGAACGGCATCATTATTTCAATAAAACCAAGTTCAGTATTAGAGTAAAGCATTAAATAAATAGGTAGAGTCCACAAAAAGGCCCACCGAGACACTAAAACAGGGGCACTGGAGAGGCAGATGTTTACGAAATAAAAGAACAGCCTGATGACAGCACTCAAGGAGAAGCTGAAGAGGCAAAAGGCAGCGTAAGTAACAAACACACAGACGGGAATAAAAGTACAGATCAATACTCCTACACAGGCTGCTTTGCTCGATGCAGACTCCAAACAGATGAATACACAGTGGAAGAGACAGTAAGTTAAACGAATAAATGAATGTGTGCTTTGGGGACAAAGTCTCATGTGGGCTCTAATTGGAAAGGAAGAGTTGAAATTTTCATCGATCCTCAGTTACCCCAAGACCCTTCCTTTTTCTATCGCTCATTCTCTCCCTCCATCTCTTCAGCTGCTCCAAGTCAGGTTTTTAGCCTTGAGAGGGTCCCTTCAGAAAGTGGAGATCTCTCCTCACAATGAGGAACACTGATGAAATACCCACCACTTCAGCTTCACCCCACCTCTATTTTTTAAGTCTTTATCCAACTCTGCTTGTTTCCCATCTCTATTAACTTGACTAATTTCTATGTTTTTCTTATGTCTCAGTAAACCATATATTTTAATGCATTAAATTAATATATTAAATTGTTATTGAAGTGAAAATGTCCAACAATAAAGAAGTTAGCAACATAAAATGAGTAGTATTCAGCTGGTCATACGATCTCAAAATGACCACCCCAACAAGATGACCCAGTCCATGTAGAATTAAATAGTTGACGTTAGCCATTGACTTCCATAATATTTTTTCCCTTACTATTGAAGTCAAAGGCTACCAGCAACTGCATGTTCAGTTAGTTACCCACATTCGTCAAAAAATCTTTTGTGTTCAACAGAAGAAAGAAATTCATACAGGTTTGGAACAACATGATGGTGAGTAAATGATGACAATTTTTGGGAGAGCTATCCCTTTAACTTTCTATTCATCAAAGAATCCTGAAAAAAAAAAGTACCACAGTGACTTCATTCAAAAGTTTCTTCCGACACCAAACTTTTGAAGTGTAAATTTATAAATTCATCAAAACTCCGTCATCATCAATTCACCCCCATGAGGTTCCAAATCTCAATGAATAAAACAAATTATATATATATTTTTTTTATTCATAGGAAATTTTATAAAAAGCCATAAGTTTGTATAACTTCCAATCTAATCATTCACATTTAATTTTTTTTGTAGTAACCTCCTCACACCACTGTATTTCTGTGATCTCCAGTACCATCTGTATTTTTGTAACTCTGATCTAGGCATTTCCTCAACCCACGCGGTCATATAAGATGGGGATTAACTCAATAGCTTTGAGAGCAGGGTAACTGCAGTGCCGAGGAAGCGTTTAGAAGCAACCTCACAGAGGTGCTGACTAATACTTTGTGAATGGCTGAACCACTGGATTTACGTTCCACTAAGTAAGGAGGTCAAAAGAAGTTAATCCCTATGTCAATTGATCGCAGTAACAGGTAATTTAATACACACACTCATGACAATAACATCATGGTTTCAGACTATTATGTGGTGCACGGTCACACCGGAGGAAGAGTTAGTTAGTTATTGAACAGAATTAGTTCTTAAGCCAAGGGTGAAAGCCCATTTATCTTGAAAACTTCTTAAAACACACACACACAAACGATAAAGACCTACGAAGGTGTCAACAGGTCAGGTTCTGTTTCTTATTTCACTCTACGTCTTCAGTCATGTGTTTACAAAGTGAAGCAGGGGACAAGATTGAAAAAATAAATAAATACAATTATATATATATATATATATATATATATTCAATCTTGTGTGTGTGTGT